GGTGAAGAAGAGAATGCAGACGAATCCCAAACGGAGAAGCTTGCTCTCCCAAAGTAACATTCATAAAAACACAATGCAAGTGTATTTAAGGAGCAGGCAGTTTACTTTAAAGACACTTAAGAAACAGCTTAAGAAGAGTCCCTTTCTTCCTGTGTTTCCTAAAGACACTTAAACACCTCGTAAACACACATTTCTATGTTAATGTATGAGTTAATTAGCTCTCCACAGACACGGGAAATGAACAACGCCTTCTTCCTCACAGGGTGCCATATCTGCGTCTCCTAAAGACTGTCGGAATTGTAGTCTTTTATATATCCCATGCACTACAGAGGTCGCCACTAGGGGACAGTTTTATTTGACCTTTTCGTGCGCGTGTGTGTGTGTGTGTGTGTGTGTGTGTGTGTGTGAAACTAAATCCATTTCAAATTTGAGTTTCAGTATTGCGTAAAAATAATTTAATTAGGATTTTATTAATTGAAAGTTTGTTTTTTTAATAATTATATACATTTAATAATACATTTCAAGTTTTTTTTGTATTTGCTGCATCATTATTTAAAACTAACTTGCCACGGTTGGTCTGTTTTCCTGTTTTATTTTGAAAGGTGTCCACTTCCTGTCTGATTACCTGGTGTTTCTGCATGTTTTAACTTCTGGGCCCTTTCTCATTTCTCTGACTCCCCTCCTCGACTCCTATCCTCGATACTTAGTCCCGCCCACAGGAGATGCGAGCGGAGGAGTCGAGGAGGGGAGCCGAGGAGAGAGGAGGGGAAGCAGCAGGCGGTTAGAGAAATGAGAACTCCTCTCCTCTGAGCGGTCATTTTAAAGAGACGTCCATTAATGATGACAGGAGGCACAGCAGCCCTCTGTCTGATGGACAGATGTGTTCATGACCACTTATATATTTACTTTGATTCATTCACAGTGCGGTATAATGAGACAATAACAGGCTACAGATGCGGACACACACACACATATATATATTTGTATATATTTATATAAATATAGGCCTATACCATTTCAGAATCAAACGGAGCACTCTCATAATAACGTAACACTATCAGAGACTGGATATATCCCCCCCCTCTCTGGTCGCTACAATGAGGAAAATAAATTACGGGCCAAAAGTTTTATTTACAAGTATTAAAAGTAAGCAGAGGACACCAGACCAACTGAGACCTGTCTGTCCGCTGCATCTACGCACACGCACGCACGCACGCACGCACGCAGGTGGTCTATATGAAGGGTAGGTGGTCTATATAAAGGGCAGGTGGTCTATATGAAGGGCAGGTGGTCTATATGAAGGGCAGGTGGTCTATATGAAGGGCAGGTGGTCTATATGAAGGGTAGGTGGTCTATATGAAGGGCAGGTGGTCTATATAAGGGGCAGGTGGTCTATATAAGGGGCAGGTGGTGACTATGTGTTGGGCAGTCTGTTCAGGGTCACTCGCATGCAGCGCTGTCTGCCAGGCCCCACGTCTTCATCCATGTTTTGAAGCGACCGACGGGTCAGTGTGGTCCATTGGCGGCGTGGTAGGTCGTCTCCTGCTATGGCGCCATCTGCTGGGTCCCAGATGTAGAGATGGATGCGGGAGGGCCCGGCTATCTAACCTTTTGACTGGTACTGTATATCCGGCTCCCACCGGCTCGGCTCGGACAGAACCAGAGAGGAAGTGAATGTTTTCCTCCTTCCTCTCCAGAATAAGGAGAGGCTTGACCGTTGACTCAAAACACTCCGTCTTCCTTGACGACTACTTTCCATCAGCTACTTTCCATCTGCATGAGTGTCCCTTCAGTCACATGCTTTCATCACGAGGCAACACTTATGCATCATGTTTTTATAATGTTTATTCCATGACGTTTGTATTTAGTCTTTGCTTTGTGCAGCCCTTTGAGGCCTTCCTTGTGATTTGGAGCTGTAATAAATGTTGAGAACGTTCTGTTTGGAGAACCTCTCAGAGAACTTGATGTTACCGTTTGGGAACACATGATGAAATTGCTGAGTCAGCTGAACCTCTTCCTGTGCGACACACCTTGCTTGTAGTTTCCCCGGTTGTGTGTGTGATGTGTGTGTGAGCGTGTTGCTGCTGGTGTTTGACGTCAGAGAGGGAGGGGCCTGCATTACTCACAGCATTCCTGTACTGCACGTACCCTTCAAACAGGAAGTGAGCTGTTGCCAAACCTCTGTTTACTCAACAGCCGACTGTCGAGATGTCGTGTTCCTTCCTCTGAGGAGACTGAAGATCACACACACACACACACACACACACAGTGTTCAGTGTGTGTGTGTGTGGGGGGGGGGGGGAGAGAGAGGGATAGGAGAGAGAGAAGAGTGTGTGTGTTTTCAAAACAAAATGTTGAGCAACTGTCATAAATCCCTGTGGTGAGAGTAAAACAGTCAAACAGTAGAGTTGAGAGCGGCTTCAGTAGACGTTAACGTTTGTTTGAATGAAGGTAACATTATTAAATAATAACTTTATTTATAAAGCACTTTCCAAACGTCACAGTGCTTTATGAAGAGCAGGCCACACACACACACACACACACACCTTTAAATCATTTGTGAGAGCGGCCAGAGTTCATTTATAAATCTATTTGTAGACGAAATTATGGAGTTAATCAATGAAAATAAAAACATGCATTAAAACACTGACTTTTATTATTTCTCATTTTGGTCACAAGGTAATGGAATGTGACCGAGTGTTCACTGGAGGGCTGTGGTGTCCTAGAGATTTGACCTACATGACACTACAAGTCACTCCTGGGGTGTGTGTGTGTGTGTGTGTGTGTGTGTGTGTGTGTGTGTGTGTGTGTGTGTGTGTGTGTGTGTGTGTGTGTGTGTGTGTGTGTGTGTGTGGCGCAAGGTGAACACTCCCTGTTTACTGCATTACACCTCATTAAATTAATGGATGAGTAAAAACGGGTTGAGGCAGGAAGGAGGAAATAATACATAAAACTGACAGTTCACCGTCCTGCAGCGCCTCCTGCTGGAGGTTAGGGTCATTACGCAGAGTAGAGGTACAAGTACTCAGATCTTGTTCTTGAGTAAAAGCACAAGTACTCAGATCTTGTGGTAAAAGTAGAAGTACTCAGATATTGTACTTGAGTAAGAGTAGAAGTACTCAGATCTTGTACTTGAGTAAAAGTAGAAGTACTCAGGTCTTGTACTTGAGTAAAAGTAGAAGTACTCAGATCTTGTACTTGAGTAAAAGTAGAAGTACTCAGATCTTGTTCTTGAGTAAAAGTAGAAGTACTCAGATCTTGTTCTTGAGTAATAGTAGAAGTACTCAGATATTGTACTTGAGAGTAAAAGTAGAAGTACTCAGGTCTTGTACTTGAGTAAGAGTAGAAGTACTCAAATGTTGTACTTGAATAAAAGTAGAAGTACTCGGATCTTGTACTTGAGTAAAGTAGAAGTACTCAGATCTTGTTCTTGAGTAAAAGTAGAAGTACTCATATCTTGTGCTTGAGTAAAAGTAGAAGTACTCAGATCTTGTACTTGAGTAAAAGTATAAGTACTCAGATCTTGTACTTGAGTAAAAGTAGAAGTACTCAGATCTTGTACTTGAGTAAAAGTAGAAGTACTCAGATCTTGTACTTGAGTAAAAGTAGAAGTACTCAGGTCTTGTTCTTGAGTAAAAGTAGAAGTACTCAGATCTTGTTCTTGAGTAATAGTAGAAGTACTCAGATATTGTACTTGAGAGTAAAAGTAGAAGTACTCAGATCTTGTACTTGAGTAAAAGTAGAAGTACTCAGGTCTTGTACTTGAGTAAGAGTAGAAGTACTCATATCTTGTGCTTGAGTAAAAGTAGAAGTACTCAGGTCTTGTACTTGAGTAAGAGTAGAAGTACTCAGGTCTTGTACTTGAGTAAGAGTAGAAGTACTCAGATCTTGTACTTGAGTAAAAGTAGAAGTACTCAGGTCTTGTACTTGAGTAAAAGTAGAAGTACTCATATCTTGTGCTTGAGTAAAAGTAGAAGTACTCAGATCTTGTACTTGAGTAAAAGTAGAAGTACTCAGATCTTGTGCTTGAGTAAAAGTAGAAGTACTCAGGTCTTGTAGGCTACTTGAGTAAAAGTAGAAGTACTCAGATCTTGTACTTGAGTAAAAGTAGAAGTACTCAGATCTTGTACTTGAGTAAAAGTAGAAGTACTCAGATCTTGTGCTTGAGTAAAAGTAGAAGTACTCAGGTCTTGTAGGCTACTTGAGTAAAAGTAGAAGTACTCAGATCTTGTACTTGAGTAAAAGTAGAAGTACTCAGATCTTGTTCTTGAGTAAAAGTAGAAGTACTCAGATCTTGTACTTGAGTAAAAGTAGAAGTACTCAGGTCTTGTAGGCTACTTGAGTAAAAGTAGAAGTACTCCGATCTTGTACTTGAGTAAAAGTAGAAGTACTCAGATCTTGTTCTTGAGTAAAAGTAGAAGTACTCAGATCTTGTACTTGAGTAAAAGTAGAAGTACCAAAGTGTAGGAATACTCTGTTACAGTAAAAGTCCTGCATTCAAAATGTTCCTCAAGTGAAAGTAGAAAAGTATTCTCATCAAAATATAGTTAAAGTAACGACAGTAAAAGTAGTCGTTGTGCAGATTGGTCCATTTCAGAATAATATATATGATATGTTTTATAATGATTGATCATGAAAGTGTTCTCAAAGCTGGTGAAGGAGCAGCTAGTTTGAAGTACTTTGTATACTGCAGGGTAGCTGGTGGATTTACTCCAGGTGGAACTAAAGTCTGATTCAACACTTGATTATATTTCACATCATTCATCCACATCTGTGAAGTAACTAAAGGTATTAATACATGTAGTGGAGTAGAAGTACACCATGTACCTCTGAACTGTAGAGGAGTAGAAGTACACAGTAGCATAACATGGAAATACTCAAGTAAAGTACAAGTACCTCTAAATTGTAGTACAAAGGTCCTCAGCGTCACAAACAGGTTTTTCTCGTGGCACAGGTCTTTGTTCTCTCAGCGTTGCGGAAACAGAACACGAACACAGCACTCTGTTTGTTTGTATTTATTTAAAAAGAAGAACAACAGATGTAAATAAAAAAATACATGTTTCTGCTCAACGGCACGAGGGTAGAGAACCAGACGCAGCCGTCTCCGACTCTCTGCAAACAGAAACCTGATTTAACAAAATATATATTTATATTTAATGGAATACATTCTGAAGCTCAGGTAATCTCTGCACGCACACACCTGGTGACCCACAATGCAGCAGGCTTTAAACAAACGTTATTGTACAAAAGGCCGTCCGCAGCTCCTCGTGCTGGTGTTGGGTTTTTGGTTTGATCAGAAGGTTTTCAGCGAGCGACGCGTCGGCATATTGCTGTGAGTTCCTGCATCGACAGGGCGACTCAGGACTGGCTCTAAACACCACAGGAAATAGTGGATCCAGAATAAGGCAACATGTAGAATGATGTGAAGCTAACATATCAACACGATGAAGGAACCTGCTTCTCTGGTGAATCATCACCTGTGAGGGTAAAGGCATCTGAACAAAGCCTCAGAGCACCATCATTGGAATATATTCTCTATTGAAAATGTAGGAAAGGTCCGCGGTGATGTGTTTGAATGATATCTCAGATAAAGGAAGTGGATCTCCAGGTGAGACGCTGGGAACTGATTTTGGCAATGTTACGACACATCAATGATCAAAGCGAGCGCAGCCTTCAGATTCAAAGCCAACGCTATCAACTAAAGATCTCAAGATGTCGAGCACGTGAATCTGAGAAAGTGAGCTCGTCTTGTTTTTAAAAAGTACGGAAGCCCTGAAGGACAAATGAGAGAAACTGTGGTGATCTGTTTTCTAAACCTGATCCGGTTCCTCCCGATGTGTCTGACTGGAGAGGGGGTTCAACAGCCTTAGAGACCCCCCTCGGTTGCCGTGTAGATATTCCTAAAAAGCACCAGTTTTTGGCTAGAAATGGATTTTAAATTGGGCTAAACGGCTGCTTTCAGTTGATGTAGAACATGGGGAGGTTACCACCTGGATCAGGAAGAAGTAGACGCATAAAAACACGTAGCAAAATGCTTTTAAGAGATTTCTTCATTAACTCCTCCGCATGCAAATTATTTGTGCACAATTGGTCACTTTCTCTAATAATCACATGGGAGTGGTTTATTGAGATTAAGGGTTTGTTGTGGCGCTGCCTTTGGTTATTGTTAGTTTCACCTTGTTCTTTAAACATCTTAAACGTGACCTTTCATACGGACGTTTAACCGTGAAACACTTCAAAGCAGTGAGCCTAGTTTCAGACACACACACATACACACACACATACACACACACACACACACGATGAAATGGAAGAACGTACGAGTTTCAGTCATTGGGTGAAAGGAGGAGATCAGGGGGAGCATGGAACTGAATCTCAACAGTTTTGATCCTGAGCTTCGAAAAATACAATAATTCAAATAAAAAATAATTATTAAAATGTTTTTTTTTTGGTTGAATATTATTTGGATTTCGTTCGAAGCAATAAAACGTTTTTTTATATTTCTCTTTTATCTATATTCTGATATTTGAGTCATGATAGTTTTGTGGTTTATGGTTCCCTGAAGGCAACGTGACTAGCTATAAGACCTGTCACTCATGGCGTTAGTCCCGCCCCCAACGCAACATCAGGGCTAAAATCTGAAAGCGAAAAATACGAAGTGAAAGTAAAAAAAACGAGAAAAGAAAGTTCTGAATCTGGAAAATAAAATAATGACTGAAATATGAAGACATAAATAAACGTGAAAAAGATTATTAAAATGCTTGATAACACTTTTCAAATACTTGTTCTTAGTTTGAAATGTTGTAATTTCATTGTATTTTTAAATCAACGATGAAAAACATTGAAATAAATTATATTTTCAACGGTTTTTCCAGATTTCAGGATCAAAAAGTTGAAATAAATTGTATTCTTCCCCTAAATGTAGGTTTGATCTCCTCAGTGGAAGCAGGCTCTGTAGCAGACGTACGCTCCGACTGCCAGAAATGAGACCAGGCACACGTTGGTGAGGAGGGGCCAAGACCCAGGACTTTGGGGGTCTTTAGGGGGGTCTAACTCCTCCAGTGGCCCCTCAAAACGCTTCTGCTTCTTCTCCTCCTCCAGCTTCTCCTCCTCCAGCTTCTCCTCCTCCAGCTTCTCCTCCTTCAGCTTCTCCTCCTCCAGCTTCTCCTCCTCCAGCTTCTCCTCCTCTAGCTTCTCCTTCTCCATCTTCTCCTCGTCCAGATGCTGTTGCTGTCGAGGGGGTTTTGGAGGAGCAGGAGACGGAGGATCCTCCATCAGGACATCAGCAGGAGGAAGAGGAGGGAGAGGAGCAGCCAGGTTCCTCTTCCTCAGCTCCGGCTCCTGAGAGGACCTGAGGAAGAGGAGGAGGAGGAAGAGGTCAGGTTTTATTAAACGGACACACAGAGGTATAAAGACACCCCCGTTCATTCCTACAAGAGTCAATCGGAGACACTTGAAGCCAAAGTGGAGCGACTGTTGGTTCAGAAAGTGTTCCACGTTTGGTCATCACGCCGAGGTGAAATACATCTAGATTCAACTTTTAGCACCTAATGATTTAAATAAAGACCATAAAGTGTTGGGTGTTTACAGACGTCTTTCCCAGTTAGGGCACAGACTTTCTGTTGCATGTCCTATATCCATGTTGCTCTGATGGAGGAGCCTGGGATCTACACTGTAGCTGCTGAGCGGAGGACGATGGAGAGCCGAAGTCCCTCCCTTTCCTGTGTTCCTCCATGGGACCTTCTTCTGGAAAAAGTATGTATTGAAGTCAACGGAGAGAGAAATTATCTTTCCATTGCGTTTTGAATTGTGCCACGAATTACACATATGATGTTTGTCAATCTTAAAAAATATTTGTCGCACTTATTTGAGTGTGAAACCGCTCCATGAGCTACATCTCTGGTCTCGCACAACACACGTCGCCAGGATGAGGCGAAAAGTATGAAAGGCGGTGGAAATCACTACAGCCTGGGCGTGTTGAGCTGCTATTACACAAAAGGGGAGTTAGTCGGTTCCGTAAGAGCCAGCATGCGGGACCGGCTGTACAAGGTGTCCGAGTGTTAAACGAGTGTAATTCGTAACGTTAATGTCAGCTAGCTAACATTAGCTAAAGGTACACTCCTGTGTTTTGTTTGAGCAACCGACTAACACCCCTTGTGTGTATCAACACGCCCAGACTGTAGTGATTTCCACCTCCTTGAATACTTTCCGCCTCATTCTGGTGTTGGTGACGTGTTGCGCGAGACCAGAGATAGCTCATTGAGCGTGTGAGTGAAACTGTGAGCGTTACTTCACAGTTTTAAGACAACATTTTTTTTCTTGATTTGCAAAATTACCTGGTTGAATAAAGGATATATATATGAACGTTTACCCCAGGCTGCGTGTCTGCGCCTTCTGGAGGACCTCTTGGTGTTCGGGGAAGAACCTCGACTCCACCCGGTCGACGGGAGGGTCTCTGGGGGGGGGAGGAGGAGGGGGGGTGAACTCTGGAGGCTCGTCTTCCTCCTTAGAAAGCTCCTTCCACGACTCCTGCAGAAATACACAAACGGTAATCAAACATGTCTTATGAGAGTGAAATGTGACTAAGATGTAATGCACTAAACTACATGATGACACAAATAACATGTATGTAGCAGTAGCTCTCTCCACGAAACGCATGTGCTGCTCAATTTGTTCATTTCATGGGTACATCACAGAGACTTTTAGACGTGGACGAAGTCAAATGAGTCGTACTGCAGGTTAAACATCAGTTTGAAAACTCCCTGTTCAAGCCAGTTTTTGTTTTGGGAAAAGGTCAAATAATACTGTCAACCTCTGTAGTCCATAGGATATAAAAAACTACAATTCCCATCCTCTGTTAAAAAGGCACAAGCCCTGCATTCAAACCGTACTAAAGTTAGAAGCTCAAACGTTTCAGCATCAAATCAAAACAATTCGTTATCCAAACTGAATATACTAAAGCTCGGGTAGGTAGTGACTGAGGCCGTTTCTCAATCGCGAGGATGCTTGCTTGGTAGCACGTGTCTTCCGAGTCACTTCCTTCAGAAGCGAGGCAAGAATCCTTCCTGGCATTCGGAAAACGAAGAGTGGAACAGGCGAGCAAGTGTGCAGGTGTGCGTCATATGAGAGGCCCCGCCTTACATTTTCCGCCACAGATTTGGGGAAATTGGTCCGTGCGCAAAGCATTGTGGGGATTTGAAGGACGCGAAGTCTACCCATGTGCAGCCTCGAAATTACCCCCAAACCAAGGACGCGGCCTCGGTGGAATTTCAAGTATGCTGGAGATTGGAACAGTCCTTCGGCGGCACTCGATGACGTAGCATCCTTGAAATATTGGCTTGGAAGCCAGTTTCCTCGAGATTGAGAAACGGCCTCAATCTGTGACCTATCCTGTAATGGAGGGAGGGGGGGGTTACCTGCAGACTGGTGTCCCCCCCGATGTATTTGGCGCCCTCGATGACGGCGAGGTAGGAGAACCGGAGCTGATCGGCCGTCTGGATCAAACCCATCCGGTACCGCCTCATCTCCAGCAGAACCTCCCGGATCCTCACCGAGGACGGGTCCTTACGGGCCGACATCTGGGGGGAAGAGGGGAGATTACAGCCACGTTTAAACTTTAATATGAAACAAACAGTCGGGTAAATTACATCACAGTTAAGCTTTGACTGGGGATGCAACTTGGATGAAAGGAATATAAAAAGGTTAGAAAAGTGTCAAAATAACTAATTTCACAGGAAGGCGAATGAGAGAATCTGGTGAGGGATATTTCCAAATATCTGGAACTGACTACTTTTAAATCCAGACTGAAGACTTTTATTTTTAATTGAACTATTCACATCTGCGCTGTAACTTTTATCTTTGCTCTTAATGTCTCTCATTTTTGTAAATCACTTTGAGTTGCCTTGTGTTGAAAAGTACTGTATAAATAAACTTGCCTTTAAAATATAAAACAAACAATCGGGTAAATTAAATCACATTTAAGCTTTTAAATATAAAGAGCTCTCAAACTGTTTACACTTAGCTACTTTTAATAATAATCAGGGTTTAAGTGTTATTCTATATTTTGCACTTAACCTGTTTTTCAGGTCTCAGGCTCGAAAATGACATTCCCAGAACAAAAGACCATATCTTCTAAAAGGGGAAAATTAATAATCTTTTTTCTCAGAGTAATGATAAACCTGTGAGTTGGATGTAGAAGAGTCAGAATCAATACATATGTTGTTATGTTAAAGTAAATTCAGATTGAACATAGTAAAAACAATTTGACCAATCAGATGAGGCTCACGGCATGCCCCTGCCAACCTGTGATTGGTCAGGGCCATGCCAAGGGAAGGGTTATACAATCAAATCGCATTAACTTCAGTTCGTACTGTAACTGTCATCACCGCCGTTAGAAAGTAGCAAGCAACTGAAGCAAGTGCAATTATGGGGGGTGGAGATTTGGAGTATTTCATCAAAAATAATTTTACTAAACTTCCGCTACAGCAGCAACAACAATTTTAATCTGATGACAGGCCAATGCCCAAACTGGAGCTGTGTACAGCGAGGAAAAAAGGAGCGAATCGGACGTAAAACTTTAAAGGTCTCCTGATTTAGTTTGTGAATAAATGCTTATTTTTTATTCATTACCGAATCTTCACTGCGCATTAAGCGGCTGGTTATGCATTTGGGGGGTTGGCTGCATAAACTAATAAGAAAATGCTTAAATGAATAAGACGAGAGAGTTTCGTCTGGAGAGTGCGTGCGGACCTGTTGGTTAGATAACAGGCGTGTGTAAGTCCTGCATCTGTATGATACACGTGTGTAAAATGATACCGGGCGCCGTAATCACTCATCTGGGTACGTTATTACATCGTCCACCCTTTGATCCGAAACAGCAAAAGGTAAGACATATTTGCCGTTTTGGCCCCGTAAAGTGAAGTTGTGTGTTGTCTGGTTTCGTCTTCGCTGCCACGAGTTTTGGTCGCTCAGTGACGATACCTCTAGAATCTGTGGAATCTCAGCTTTAATCTGATATAGTGTTTGTGCAGATCCGATAAGTAATAAAGTATTTCTACCGTGAGTTCTGTGCTAAGTGCGTTAGCATGTGTTCGCTCAGGGCTAATTCAGAAGCTTGTTATTACCCTTGTGTTTCGTTTAGCTAAAAATGGTTAATATTGTCTGAAAGCTGAGTTTCTTCCCGTTAAGTGGGTATGACACATTCATAGTTTGTTAAATGTTAAGAAGCCAAAAACAAAGAAACATTAAGAATGTAAGGTAATGTAATGTAAGGTAATGTAATGTAAGGTAACGTAAGGTAAGGTAACGTAAGGTAAGGTAATGTAATGTAATGTAAGGTAAGGTAAGGTAATGTAAGGTAAGGTAATGTAAGGTAAGGTAATGTAAGGTAATGTAATGTAATGTAATGTAATGTAAGGTAATGTAAGGTAACGTAAGGTAATGTAAGGT